TAGCACCAAGAACATACATTGGAGAAAGGATAGTGTCTTCAATAAGTGGCATTTGGGAAAAATGGATGTCCCCATGCAGAAGACTGAAGGTAAACCCTCTCTCTCACCATATACAAAAGTCAACTGGCTTGCATGTAAGATCTCAGAATACAGAACTAGCAGAACAAATAAGGGGACTGCTTCAGAACACTGAACTGGGAAAGGATTATTTTTTTATAAGACCCCAAGGTACAGGCAACAAAAGCAAAAGCTGACAAACAGGATTACAGAAAACCAAACAGCTGCTGCATTGCAAGGGAAATAATCAGTAGATGAAGAAGCGACCTGTAGAATGGGAGAAAACATCTTCAAACTATGCTTCCAGGAGATTAATATCCAGGGTACATAAGGGACTCAACAAATAACAACCTGATTTTAAAAAATGAAGAAACAATCTGAATAGACATATTTCAGAAAAGAGATAATGGTTAACAAGAATATTAAAAATGCTCAACACCATTGATATTCAGGAAAAGAAAATCAAAATCACAATGTCATCTCACCGAAGCTAAAATGACTATAGTCAAAAAGACAAAGAATAACACACAAGGGTAAAGAGAAAGGGAACACTCATACACTGTTGGTGGGAATGTAAAATAGTACAGTTGTTATGTTTCTTGTGGCAACAGGGCTAGTATATCCAACACCTTAAATATTTATCATTTATTTGGGAAATATTCAAAACCTCTCTATTGGCTATTTTGAAACTTACAGGTGCAATTAACTGTTGTCAATTATAGTTGCCCTTTGTGCTCCAGAACATTAGCAGTTGCCCCTCCTATTAATCGCGTTCCTGTCTGTTAACTTTCCTTTTTCACCCCCTTCCGCTCCCATGTCTGCTAGTCACTATTTGACTCTCTACTTCTATGGATCTCTGTTTTAGCTTACACATGAAAGGTAACTTCACAAAGCTCGGGGAAAAAATGGAATTGAAAAATAAGTTATTTTGGTGCAAAATTTTTGAAATACATGCATAATTTTTTTTTCATAATACTCATTCCGCATGAACATTCTGAAAACATAGAAGTTGAAACGTGATATTTGTCTTTATGTGATTTACTTAACATGATACCCTACAGTTGCATCCATGTTTCGGCAAATCTCAGGAGTTCTTGTTTTCAGATTGTGAAATGATATTTCCCTGTGTTTCTAGACCACGTTTTCTTTATCCACTCATTAGCTGAAGGGCACTTTAAGAGATTCTGTATCTCAGTTGTTGTGGGTAGTGCTACAATGAACAGAGGAACACAGACTTAGACATACTGATTTCCTTTGCTCTTGACCCCAACAGTGGGGTTACTGGATTATTTGGCAGTTCTCCTCCTGCTTTTCTGGGGAACATCCATGCTCTTTTCCACAGTGGATGTTCTAACTTACATTCCCACGAACAGTGTCTGAGTTCTCTTTTCTCCACATCCTCACAAACATTTGTTTTTGACTTAGTAAAAAAAATCTTTTTACAAATAAAAATCTATGCAGAAATGGTTCACTGGAAAATGCTAGTAAGTATTTACTTATTTTAAATATTTATTTATTTATTCAAAAGGCAGAATGACAGAGAGAGAAAGATCGTCCACCTGCTGGTTCACTCCCCAAATTGCCACAAGAGCCAAGGCTGGGTCAGGGACTCCATCTGGGTCTCCCACGTGGGTGCAGGGGTTCAGGTACCTGGGCCATCTTTAGGCATCTTTCCAGGCACACCAGCAGGGAGCTGGGTTGAAGGTGAAGTAGCTGGGCCTCGAACCAGCGCTCTGCTATGGGATGCTGGTGTCAGGAGCAATAACTTGCCCTGCTGAACCACAGTGTTGGCCCCATCTGTGAGGTGCTTAAAGAAGAAATAACATTTCCACTAGAATTTCTTCTAGAAACTAGAAGAGCAGAATATTTTATGAGAACAGCATTATCCTAATACCAAATCAGATAAATACAATGAAAGGTAACCACAAACTGATATCCTTCATGAATACAGACATAAAAATCTTTAGTACAATTTTAGCAAAGAGAATCCAACATTATATAAAAGGGATAATAGATCATGAAGCAGTAGAATTTATTCCAGGCATGTAAAGCTGGTTCAACATTAGCAATATCTATCAATTTAATTTACCATATTAACAGGCTAGTGAAGAAAAATCATGATCACACATTCAGGAAAAGCACTTGTAAAAAGGTAACATCCTCTCATGGTAAACTCTTAATCTGATAAAGGCATCTATGAAGAACTTAATGGGAGATGTCTCTAATGACAAACTTTGAACACTTTCCCTTTCCGACCAAGGTCAAGACGAAGGTTTCTGCCCTTATAATTCTTGTTCAACATCATACTGGAAGTTCTAGGCACTGCAACAAAGCAAGTAAAAGAAATAAAAGGCATACAAGATGAATAGGATGAAATAAAATTCTCTCTTTTCATCGATGGCATGATAGTCCATATAAAAAAATCAAAGGAATCGTCAAAAAGTTTTAAAGATATTATATGAGCTTAGCAAATTCACAGGATACAACGTCAATGCATAAATATTACACATACTTTGATATTCTGGCAAAGGACAATTGGAACTAAAGTTAAAAGCAATACTATTTATAATTAGCTCCTGAAAGTTATAGAACATTATGAAAGAAATCAATGAAAAACTAAAATGGAACTACATGGAGTTTTCTTTCTTGTTTTTATTTGCCATCTGTATATCTCTTTTAGTAAAATGTCTTCACATTTTCTGCCATCTTCTAATTGATCGGTTTACTTATTATGCAATTTGGAGGGTTTTATACACATATATATAAATATTATTAATTTATTTGAAAGACAGAGTTACAGAGGGGCAGAGGCAGAGACAGAGAAAGAGGTCTTCCATCCTGTCATTCACTCCCCAAATGGTGGCAATGGCTGGAGCTGGGCCACTCTGAAGTCAGGAGCCAGGATCTTCATCCAAGTCTCCCATGCGGGTGCAGGGACCCGAGGACTTGGGCCATCTTCTGTGCTTTCCCAGGCCATAACAGAGCTGGATGGGAAGTGGAGCAACCAGGACTCGAACCAGCGCCCAAATGGGATGTCAGCACTGCAGGCGGTGCTTTACCTGCTATGCCACAGCACCGGCCCCTGTGTATTTTTTAGATTCCTTTTTCACAAGTTAATCTTGGATTTTATATAGAAAAGCAAAGGAACTGGAATAAGTGAAATAATTTTGAAACAGACCATTGTTGGGAGGATAGCAGTTCCTGATTTCACATATATTTAAAGTCACCACAATCAAGAGAATGTGGTATTGGAGAAAAGACAGACACATTGATCAATGAAACTGAGAGAGGAGCTAGCTGGTCAATTGACTCAAATCTGCCCAAGTTACTTTTACATGGGTGTAAATTAGATTCAATGAAGAAAGGAGAGCATTGGTGGGAGACCAGCTGGACAGCTATACAGTGAAAAAAGAAAGAAAAAAAGCCCTCCAACCACAAGTTTACACCTGGATAGTCCTAAAAGTAATATGAAATTTTTAGAAAAGAAGTTGGAGAAAGTATTTGTGATTTTGAATTAGGCCTAAAGGTCTCCAGTATGATAGCAAATCATAATCCCTAAAAGAAAAAAAGAGATAAGTTGGACCTCATAAAAATTAAAATATTTTAATTAAAAGAACAATAAGCTACAGTCTGGAAGACAGTATTTGCAAATGACATAGCTGACTAAGTACTGTATTCAGAATGCATAATGAACACTCACACTGTAGGAGAAGAAAAGGAAAGCATTATACAGTGGTCACGGAAGGGCTGGTCATTTGGCCAAGCAGTTACAATTCGGCTAGGATGCCGACATCTCACACTGGGGAATGGTTTGGAGGGCTTGGGGTCACACTCTGCTCAGCTGGAAATCAGCTTGTTGCTAATGCACACGCTGGGAGCAGCCGGTTCTGGCTCAAGTAGTTGGGTGCCTGTCACTGTCGTGGGTGACCTTGATGGAGTTCCCTGGCCCAGTCCTGGATGTTTCAGGTTTTTGGGTCATGAACTGGTAGATAGGAACCTTCTCTCTCTCTGTCTCTCTCCCTCTCAAATAAAACATTTAAATGCTCATGTAATTTGATTAGGCATTTCACCTAAAAAGGATATATTTGGCTGAGAATCATATGAAGAGCATCGCCAACATCGTTACTAAAGAAATGCCAATTAAAATCCCACTGAAGAGCCGGCGCCGTGGCTCAATAGGCTAATCCTCCACCTTGCGGCGCCGGCACACTGGGTTCTAGTCCCGGTTGGGGCGCCGGATTCTGTCCCGGTTGCCCCTCTTCCAGGCCAGCTCTCTGCTATGGCCAGGGAGTGCAGTGGAGGATGGCCCAGGTGCTTGGGCCCTGCACCCCATGGGAGACCAGGAGAAGCACCTGGCTCCTGGCTCCTGCCATCGGATCAGCGCAGTGCGCCGGCTGCAGCGGCGGCCATTGGAGGGTGAACCAACGGCAAAAGGAAGACCTTTCTCTCTCTGTCTCTCTCTCTCACTGTCCACTCTGCCTGTCAAAAAAAAAAAAAAATCCCACTGAAATGCTGTGATACAGTCATCACACTCTGACAGTCATCAACGTTCTTAGAAGAAGGGGATGGAAAGACCAGGTGTCAAGTGTTGTCAAAGACACTGAGCATCCAGAATTCCCGTGAACTGCTCTACAAGGAGACTCGGTAGTTTCTTGTAAACTTGAACTTTTACTACCGTATGATTTCGTTGTTCCCCTAAAACCTATGCGTGAGTGACTGTAGCAATCACATTCATAATTGCCCAGTACTGGAAACCACCCAGATGTCCTTTAGCTAGTGCCGGGATGAGCAAACTCTGTTGTCATCATACGGTGCAATTGTACTCTGTGATCAAAATTATCAAACTATTGACAGAAATAATACAGCCAATGGAACTTGAGCGTAGGAAGCCTCCCATTCAAGTGACATTCTAGAGCAGATAAAACCATGGGAACAGAGACAAATTGCTAGTAGCCAGGGTTTAAGCATGGGGGACTTCTCAGAGGTGACAAAGCTGTACTGCATCTTTACTGCCGTGATGGTGAACAGAGCTCTCAATATGTGTCAGAATCCGTGAAACTCCACACTCCCTGAAAGAGAGAATTTCACAATTTGTAAATGTAAGTGGCCCTGCGTCGTTCTCTGCACTCCATGTCTTCTCACCAGCTCCGTGGAAGTGGAGATCAGGGACAGCGAGAGGGTGAGAGACATAATAAAGTCGCGACTCACTGGCCCATCAGCGAGGACAATTGTGCATCCTCTCCCCTAAGGGTGCCCCTCAGGGAGACGTGCAGTTGGGGCTCTCTGTAGCGCACTTGCTAATTTGGCTGCCCTGTGCCTTTGAAGTCGGTGGAGAAAGAATTTGAGGGAAATGTCAGGGTCGAGAAACAGGGCTGCAATAGACACCCTGCACCTCCTGTGTTTGGTGTGACAAGGAAGTTATTCTGAGTGGTAAACAGTGGTTGAGCTGTTTCTCTGCTACTTATGCAAAAGGAATGTCTTTTAGGCAGGAGACCCTCACAGCAAGCAGATGTAGGAGCTTGGCAGTGTTAAAGAGACTTGGAGGAGGTTAGAGAAATAAGTGGTTTCTCTAACTGGCCATGCAGCGACAGGGCTGGTGACAAAAACGCACTGATGATCTTTAGTTGCATCCATTTTGTTGCAAATATCAATATTTTGTTCTTTTTCATGGTTGAGTAATACTCCATCGTGTACATGTATCACATTTTCTTTATCCAGTCATCAGTTGATGGACATCTAGGTTGATTCCATGTCTTAGCTATCATGAATTGGGCTGCTATAAACATGGGAGTTCAGGTAACTCTTTGCTAAGTGAAATAAACCAGATCTCAAAAGATAAATTCACGTTTTTTTTTTTTTTATCTATCCATGGTAGTTAATATAGAGATGAAATCTGTGTGGATATCATATCACTTGTCATATAGTTATAAATAATACTTCGCTGAATCATACCATGTAAATGACAATATATTTTTTATCTCAGATTAAAAAAAGCCATGGAGGGGTAGTGAGGACTCTTGGGGTTCTAGCAATGCTTTGTTCGTAATTTGATGTTGGTTATGAATGTGCTCAGATGACAAGAATGCATTTATCTGTACCCTTATGTGGCATTTCTTGATAGATATACTACATTTCAATAAAAGGTTTGAAAAATGACTGTTGAGAGTAAGAGGCATAGCTAAAGGAAAGCCAAGCAGTTTAGTTTTCTTCTTGCCTTAGTTCTCACTAAACACCCAACTTGAGAATCTCTTCAAACAATTAAAACCCAGCGTTCGGATTTTAAGAAGAATGAGGCAAGAGAAGAGTGTAAGCGTTGCTTACTTTTCATGTCCGTGCCATCATTTCAGGCTCCAGGCAGAAACGTCTCTCCCTTGCCTCAGTCACACTCACCCTAATCCTTTTCTCATTTCTTTCCTCCTCCACCTTGCAAATCAAACCAAGCCAAAATGAATCCAAACAAACAAAACAAAACTCCTGGGAGACTAACAGGGGCGCTGGGACACAAGGCGGGTCTGCTGCAGCAGCTCTTCAGGCACAAGTCTATCTGCTCCTGCTGCTTTCTTGTTAAATTGAATATATGATTGAGGTTTGCAAGAAGCCTGAGCTTGAAAAATGGCCAAACAGTTGAAACATATAGAATGTTCCCAAGATTAACAACGGGAAGGGAGATCGAACAGAGAATGGTCAAAGGTAATGAGTAGGAAAAAACTGAAATCATTCCACAGCTGTGTCCAGCCACGGTCATACTGTTCAGCAGATGAGCTTTGTCCAGATGGCTTGTCATTAAGTGCCTTCTGAATGTGCTTGTCATGGCTGGGAAGAACCAGCCCTCCTTTCAACTGTTCTCTGGCTTAAGAAAGCCTGGTGGCCGGCGCTGTGGTGTAGCGGGTAAAGCTGCCACCTGCAGGGCCTGCATCCCTTATGGGCGCTGGTTTGAGTCCCAGCTGTTCCACTTCCGATCCAGCACTCTGCCATGGTCTGGGAAAGCAGTGGAAGATGGCCCGAGTGTTTGGGCCCCTGTACCCACGTGGAAGGCCTGGAAGAAGCTCCTGGCTCCTGGCTTTGGATCGGCACAACTCTGGCCGTTGCAGCCAATGTGGGAGTGGGCCAGTGGATGGAAGGTCTCTCCCCCCCCCCCCCCGCCTCTGCCTCTCTGTAACTCTGTCTTTCAAATAAAATAAATAAATGTATATAAAAAAAAGAAATCCTGATACTGGTACTCCAGGATCTGGTCGCAGAGGTAGGGAGTGATTCTTAGGGCAAACGAAGTTATGATCGATTCCACCTTGGGAACATTTTGGAGACCATATATAAGGTATTTAAACCAGATTTGCCTTTGATTTGTAGGACACAAGGCAATGCATTGATGATGCTTGTCCAGCAAATCTTGTGTCTAAAAGCAAGAATTAAAGTGCATTGAATGCCATGATGTGCCAGGACTGTGTTTTCACCAGATATACTCTGGTTTCCATGACTGTAAGAGTATCAGGTAAGGATTAGGATAAGAAAATGAAAACTTGAATTAAAAATGGAAAGTAGCTATCAAAGATGTTGCTTGTATCATTAGGGCTGAGAGTCCATCTTCCTTTAAAAACTCTGCCCTTGAGATGGATTTTGTGGTGCAAATGGGTCAAGCGACCACTCAGGATGCCCACATCCGATCTCAGAATGCAGGTTCAGGTCCCATCTCCTGCTGATGGACCTGGGAAGGCAGTGGATGATGGTCCAAGTGCTTGGGTCCCTGCCACCTACATAGGAGACCTGGATGGAGGTCCCAGCTCCTGGCTTTGGATTGGCCTAGCTCCAGCCATTGAAGGCAATTGAGGAGTGAACCAGTATGGTTTGAAGATCTCTCTCTCTCTCCCTCCCTCCCTCCCTCCCTCCCTCTCATTCTCTGTCGCCTTCTCTCTGTCACTATGCCTTCAAATACATACATAAATCCTTAAAAAATTAAAACTATGCTCCTTCTGTTACTCTATAGAGTAACAAAATTAGAGCTTCAAATCCCCTTCATTGGTCTGTTTAGAACAACAACAAAAGCATTTTCTTCCACCCACTAGCACCTCTTTCTCCTTCCTCTCAACTTCTTGGCAGAGGGGAGTGAAGCTGCCAGGACCTTGTTGCAGGTTTGGGGGTTCAAGGTCTCACCGTGTGCCAGGCTGGAATGGTTTGCTGTTTGAGTAGCAGATAAGGTAGGTGCTTGGCACTCACAGAAATGCCTACCTTACTCAGAGTGACACCGCAAGCTGTGATACTCAGGCAGTGAGAGACCCTCAGGGAAGGAGATTGATGGGAAGTTGGGTCACACCTCCTCTCCTTCCCTGGCTTTGACACTTGTGTATCGTGTGAATCCCCTCAGCACCCACAGTTCTGTCCTTCTTTCTTTTTCTTTCTTTCTTTCTTTCTTTTTTTTTTTTTTTGACAGGCAGAGTGGACAGAGAGAGAGAGAGACAGAGAGAAAGGTCTTCCTTTGCTGTTGGTTCACCCTCCAATGGCTGCCACGGCCGGCACGCTGCGGCCGGCGCACCGCGCTGATCCGATGGCAGGAGCCAGGTGCTTCTCCTGGTCTCCCATGGGGTGCAGGGTCCAAGCACTTGGGCCATCCTCCACTGCCTTCCCGGGCCACATCAGAGAACTGGCCTGGAAGAGGGACAACCGGGACAGAATCTGGAGCTCCGACCGGGACTAGAACCCGGTGTGCCGGCGCCACAAGGCGGAGGATTAGCCTAGTGAGCCGCGGCGCCGGCCCTGTCCTTATTTCTGCAAACACCTGTGACTCATAGTCTGTAAACTTTCTCTAAGGTAGGAGCAGGCTCAGCCTGTGCGGGCCCAGGCCAGCAGTGCCAAGGATGTTTGCCGCCAGGAGCGGCCCTCTGCCAGTTACGGCGGTTGTTGGAGGATGGACACCCGACTTCCTTACCTTGTTCAGGGGGTGCCCTGACCCCCTGCTGGATGCCTCCCTACTGGCTCCCAGCAACATCCCGTTTCTTAACACAGCGTGCTTCGTTTCCTTCTCTTCCCTTTCTCACTTCCCCGCTCCCCACCTCTGCCTCTTGGGGTCACCTCCCCAGTCACCCACAGGCATGTGTACTAGCCTTGTCTCAGGCTCTGCTTTGTGGGAATGCACTTTAAGTCATGCTCATTCAGAAGAATGATGGCATTTCTCCACGATTAAAATCACTTTTTGACTGTTACACTCTCTAACTTGGTCATCCTTTGTGTTCAATATGCACACAATGAGATTATGCTGTCTAAACAGAACCTTGTTTTATTAGCTGCAAGTTATGTCTCCCTCTGAATGTGTCAGCTCCACCTCTTTCTAGCTACACCCACAAAGGCGTCTACCTGGCTTTGCATGGATTGTCCAATTTCCCCTCTCTTCTTTTGTGTCTTAAGACCTCTTCGTGCTAACAACCTCTTTTGGTTCACCTTATCTCAGGCTGCTATTTCGATTGTTTGAAGAGTGTCCAGTGGGAACTGGTGTGCTTTCTCCTTCCTTCTGTGTCGCTGTGCTATGGCTAAATGAGTACGACAGAGTGACACACTTGGGCTGACGCTCCCTGACCATTCATAATCAGAGCAGATGGGCAGTGGCAGGCAGGAGTGAGACGTGATGGGCCATCTCTCCGGAGAGAAAGCAGACACTTGCCGTGGCTGTATTCCACCTTTTCAGGGGGGTGAGAGCAGTACTGGGGAGAGAGAGGTGTCTCCTAGAGTATCCAGGAGTGGGCTCCCTGCTTGGGAGCATTGTGCATATGTGTTACTCAGGTGCGTGAACAGGTGCACACTCACACCGAAGAGGGAAGGCAATTCTGTGGGTGACCCCCTTTGAGCATAGTAGCTCAGTACCAGCCATGGTTATTAATAGTTCAGTGCTCTCTCTCTCTCTCTCACTCTCTCTCAAGTTTTTTTTTGATTCCCTCTCTTGGGTCTACTTTGTCTCTCTCTCTTCCTCAGTCATTGAAAGGTGTGTGAAACATAATGAAATTTGGAGCAAAAAGGCTCCAGTGACCAATCAGTCTCATATTTTTTAGATTTATTTATTATTTATTTGAAAGAGTTACATAGAGAGGAAAGGGAGAGAGAGAGAGAGAGAGAGAGAGAGAGAGAGAGAGAGAGAGAGAGATTCCATCTGCTCTTTCATTCCCCAAATGGTGGCTGTGGCCAGAGTTGGGCCAGGCTGAAGTGAAGAGCCAGGAACTCCATCTGGGTGTGGCATGTGGAGGCAGGGGCCCAAGTACTTGGGTCACTTTCCACTGCTTTGTCAGGATACATTAGCAGGGAGTTGGATCAAAGTGGAGCAGCTGAGACTCCAACCTGCACTCATGGGGGATGCTGGTGTCACTGCTAGTGGCTTAACTTGTTGCACTACAAGGCTGACCCCTCATTCTCATATTTTTAAGAAGTGGATTTATTACTCAGGCTTTTCCTTGAGAGGGGTAGACTGAACAAGGCTCTCTGTCCACTAAGATGTCCACATCTGAATCCTAAGAATCTTTGAATACAATTCTATATGACAAAAGGGACTTTAGAGATAGGCAAAAGGTGTTAATGGGAGACCATCCTGGATTCTCCATGTGGACATGAAACACACTATGAGGGCACTGCAGAGGCTCACTTCAGTCATAGAAGTGCAGTCTTTTTCCATTATTACCTGAAGACAAATGGACACCTTCTGAAGATAAACAAACAAACAAGAAGTGAGACTGGAGCAAGTTCTAGCCAAAGCAGAGCTATAAGGAGGATGCCTAATGATTTTCCCAGAGCTCTTGTCAGACTGCACTTGTTGGAGGAATGAACAGGAGCGTTGTTATGGTGGGGAAGGGTTCTCTGGCGTAGCTTTCCTGGGTGTTTTCCTGCTTAAGCTTTGGCCACTCTTTCAAATTGCTCTCATAAGAAGATGCTATGGTTCTTTGGTCTTCCAGAAAGTCAATAAGAAAAATAACTCGAGCATCCCCAAAAAGCCTGTGAGATGATCTTTGCTCTTGACAGGTTCACTTTGGCTGTGACTGAACACCTTCTACTTCTTGGTAGCCATTACTTTGCTTGTGCTGTATCTTCAGGATAATACTGAGAAAGCCGTTTCATCTCCTCTCACAATTTTTGAAAAAAAAAAAAAAAAAAAAAAAAAAAAAACACCTTCAGGACCTTGGTCTCATTTGTTCAAAATTTCCACTGAATTCTCTATTCTTGCATGAAGCTGATTTGGGCTCACGGGGTTTGGCACTCATGGAGTAGAAAATTTTCTCCACCCTACTTGGCAATGAGAATTGGGTAAGCAGAAAGTATTGAGGTGTCTGTGATGTTGCCCATTGTTTCTGCTGTTCATCACCAATCCTCTTCAGGTAGGGCACAAACAAGAATTTTTTCTTTGCGAATTGATGTAGATGATGTAGGCTTCATCTTCAACATTGTTTTATTTCCTGTTACAACAAATTATCCTTTTATAAAGTGCTGATGTCTTTAGGCATTTTCCCAATAAACTTTTCATAAAGCGTCAGTGGATGACATGCTTGGGAAAAGTATCAAAACAGGGTGGCATGTGTTCAGAGCACTTAGAAAGGAGCTGAGAGACCATGTTACATAGTGTTGTAGACATAACCCCTGCTGAATCTTTGGCTACATGCAGGTCTACACCTGTGTGTACTTTGGACTGAGTCAATATGCAAGTCACTAGATTTTGAGAGCCACTTGTGAAAGTCTCTTGCTTCCCTAGAAATGGAGAAAACACCTGAACCCCTTTCTTAAGAGACAGCTTGACTCTTGTTAGTATCAGTCAGAATTCCCAAAAAATCCAAGATGTAATCACCACCTACCTTAAGGGCCACCCTCAGAGTGTAGTCAAGGTTGCTTGAATCTGTGTTTTCCTGGATTAAAATCCTAAGTAGCTCTAAATAAATGCAATTTTCTCTGTGCTTGAATAGGTTGATTTTATACTCAGTCAGCATAAGTTAGAGTCAACCAATAAAGGGAGCAAGTTCTAGGCTAATGATAAGGCATGTGTAAAGGTCCTGAGGTAGGAGGCAGCAAGGTACCTTGGGAAAGACAGAGAGCAGTGTGGCAGCAAGACAGAGAGCAAGGGCAGGCTAGTCAGCAGTGCAAGTGGGACGGCAAGCAGGGCAACACTTGTTCCTCAGGGCAGGCCATGTGAGTCATTTAGCCTTGTGTCAAGAAAGGGTTTTCAGCAAGGATAATGGGTCAGCTGACTGTATTGAGACTTGCAAAACCACACAGTGGTGCCTGGCCTGTAGTAGATGGCAGTAGATGGCCAGGTAGGCAGTCCTGGTATTGTATATCTTTCCATTCTTTTTTTTATTTGACAGGTAGAGTTACAGACAGCGAGAGAGAGACAGAGAGAGAGAGGTCTTCCTTCTGTTGGTTCACTCCCCAAATGGCCGCTATGCCTGGTGCTGCGCTGATCCGAA